TACACTTGTTGACATACACTTGTTGACATAATGTCAACAAGGACGTCTACACACTGGTCGAGCAACCTATGTCGAACTCGATCTACGACAGTATTGAGAGTATCATTTCTCCCTAATCCAAGCTCCAAAATCGCGAGCTAAGTTCCAAGACAGCCTATTTCGGATATGTAGCAGTGTGTGTGACACAATGTTGTTATCAGCTATTTACCACGCGAGACTCGAGTACTTTCTAATCCCAGAGGAGACCTGCACACTGTGAACCCGTATTACCGATCCTGCAACTCTACAGTGGTCAAGTCGCTGAGCTGAGTTTCCTTCATTGCATCAAGACCGCGCAACGTCATCCATTGCGACACGAATAGAGCAGATGCAATAGTCTGAAACGCATTGTTCTTTAAGGACCGTTCATATCTAGGAAACTATCGATAGTATTACGACCATGCCCAGGCTGAGCGAAATGCCGTAGTCTCCAACAGTGAAGGATAGGTTGCTGAGTTTGCAAGCAAACTTCTGGAGGAAGGAGATGTCTGAAAGATGTTGAGTCGGAAAAAACCAACAAGATACATGATCTCACCCGATAGGAGGAGCAACAGAACAACTGCGGCCAATGGTATGCCGATGTACGCTTCGAAAGACCACGCCGACATAATCACAAAATCAACTGTTGAAGAGATTGAACTCGCAGAGGGGACCAGTGCACGAGCACACTACACTTGCTTACATTCGTCGGTTCGATTCTTGCAGATGACATTTTTACATTTTTCGGAACATTTTTCGAGCGGAAACAGAGTTTCTGCACAAAGCTCATTATCCACGTAGAAGTGGCTTATGAGGCTAAAAGCGCAGACTAGCCAATTTTGGACATCCACATCCTTTCACTATCTATCTTCCTGTATGTCGTGCACATCGACAGGTCCTCTGTTATTTAAGAACTTCAACCGGAAGAGATTTGCATACCATGTCCCTCCGCAGTTCCCCTCTTCTCATTTGTTCCTAACACAATAATGGTTGCATCAACCGCGGTTATGGTACCCAACGAGCTTAGAACTAGGTTCGAGGGCTGGGGGCAGGCGCACGTTTTCAAATTCATTGACAACGGCATGTGCTCTGAGGAGGAGGCCGAAGCTCTTATAGAACAACTCAAGGGTATAGATTATCCTAGCGTTAAGGCTAACGTGGAAAAGGTATTTGTCCTCCCATAGATCCCTCTTGAGAGAAATTATTTTTCGCAGGCTAAGGAAGACCTCAAGTCAGAGACGGCTCATGCTGAATATGATCCTCCGAACGACAAAGACGTGATGAAACTGAGTTCCATGACTCCGGAGGCCGTTGAACGTTGGGAAGTAGCACCGGGCTCCTGTATGAGGGATGGTCGTACTCTATACTCAGACCCTAGGCCTTTCGGCGATAGCCGCCGGTGAGGTTGCCGGTTGTGTTTTGGCTGGAGGGCAGGGTACTAGGATGGGCTTGGGAGTGCACGAATCTAAAGGTATGGTCGACATTGGCCTTCCCAGCGCCAAGCCCATCTTCCAGCTATTCTCTGAGAGGCTGACCAGGCTGAAGTGAGTTCGCTGTGTGCCTACATCTAGTGTATGTTCCCATCCCTGTAGGACTCTGTCGGGCCAAGCCTCCTCTCGTATTCCTTTCCTAGTGATGACTTCGCCGTTGAACCATACTTCTGTCCAGCAGTTCTTCAAAGATCACGATTTCTTCGGCTATCCCGAGGAGGATGTTGTATTCTTCCCTCAAGGTAAGGCTCCCTCGCGATAATGTGACGGACGAGTCTGTTCTGTTATGCGGCGGTTCGTGGTCTTCACCATGACTCAGAGCGCTTCGTCATGAACCGATCTGTATACGAGTTGTGATCAAACATATGTCCCATCTGTAGGTACTCTTCCTGCCTTGTCGCTTGATGGAGATCTCATTCTCGAGTCTAAGTCGAAGGTTAGCGTCAGTCCAGATGGTAATGGAGGCCTGTACTATGCCCTCGACAAAGAAGGGGTAATATGAGAGTGGAAGATTCTCTATGGCATACTCTGCATATGTAGGTTTTATCGAAGCTAGAAGCTTGGGGAGTGAGATACCTCCACGTCTTTTCCGTGGACAACGCTATCCTCAAACCTGCTGATCCGTGGTTTGTTGGTTACTGTATTGAGAAGAATGCCCAGGTTGGCAATAAGGTTGTTTGGAAGTCATCTTGGGATGAAAAAGTTGGAGTCATTGCTACCAAGAATGGCAAGTGTTCCGTAGTGGAATACTCTGATCTGTAATGCTCATTCGAGCGAGTCTAGGCTAATTCGAGTCGATCCTCGTATATTTCTCATTTTGATATCTTCGTCCTACCTAGAAGCTTCGTCGCAGTGGGCTCATGGTTTTATATGTAGATACAACCCCGCTGCTGGTATCGACAATCCGATGGTCAGGGCCAAGGGTAGCGATGGCAAGCTCCTCTTTGGCGCCGGCAATATCTGCAATCACTTCTATTCTGTTGAGTTTCTACGAAACGCCATTTCCAGGATGGATAGTCGCTATCACTTAGCGTACAAGAAAATCGCGTGTGCTGATGAGAAGGGTGAGCGAAATTGGCTATGTCAGGGTGCTGTAGGATAGTTTTTTCCAGGCGACACTGTCAAGCCAACAGCGAACAACGGCGTCAAGCTCGAGGCTTTCATTTTCGATGCTTTCGAGATGGCGGACCGCTCTGTTGTCTTCGAATGCAAGCGCAGTGAAGAGTTCACGCCCATCAAAAATCCGTTCGGGGCCGACCAGGACTCTCCCAATACAGCAAGGAAGGCTATATCGGACATGTGCAGGTAACGGATTTCTCTCGCATACCATTGTGTACCCTGCGTAACCCTTGCCGGGAACCTCTCTCTCTCTTAGGCAGTGGGTCGAGATGGCTGGCGGGCATATCTCGGGGGAGGATCTCTTCGAAGTGTCCCCACTTGTATCGTATCGGGGTGAGGGTTTGTCTGAGCTATGCAAGGGTAAAACCTTCGCCTCTCCTGGTCAACTGTGAGTTTGGTGCTTAGCCTTTACTGACGTTGAGAGTCTTCCCTCAGTACTGCTGTACAATAGGTTTTGTTTCTACAATCCTTCGATGTTGTTTGTTCAACGCTAGTGAGGTGGATAGCTTAGGTGCTCCAGCGGACTTTTCTGAGCTCATCAGCGCGAAAGTTGTCCAGAGCTCAATTGGTTTCATGCCTACTTCACTCGACCGAATTGGATGAAATTTGGTTCTGCTGAACAGCTTTTTGCTGTCGGACTTTATCTCATCAACTCGTATTTCCATCCCAAAAGCTGGTGTCGGCTCAGATTTTCGTAGGTTTATGGAAGAGAGGATTGATTGTGTATGGCTAATGCCGCAACCAGTGGAGTCCTCCCCCGTTTGGGTTGGTTCTCTGTGAGTCGCTGGAGTAAAGCTTCTCTCAGTAAAGCTCTACACAATCACGTAGTCGGAGCCGTTCGCGGTTGCGATCAGCTCATGAACCTTATGCTCGGTAATGCGGTAGTAGGGCATCCCTTCAAGTGTCACGTGCACTATGTACTGCTGGCTCGAGGTTTTCATTTGTGTGTGACTAGTTGATGGCCGGAAGAACCCGTGTCTAGGATGGAGGAGGGCGGGATCGGTATGGTGTTGATCGGTGGCAGTTCTGTCATGTTATGGGAGTCTCTAGATCGCGTGAAGTGCAGCTGAATTTCTCGCTGATCTAATTATTGTGTCTTTGTTCCCTCCAATATTAGTTTCACGTCTTTCATGGTTTTGCGTTCCCCAGGACGGCCGCTCATATGCGGGTGAGAGAATCAAAGCTGATATCCTTATTTTGGTTGGGGTGTCCATGGTATCGGTCAGGGTCTTTGAGAACGATCCGGTTGGGGCTTGCTGGTTTCGCATCCCTCATGGTTCTGACTCATTGGCTGCTCCGTTATGATGACATGGCTACTTGGCCGATACAGACCCTCGAACTTGGATATGCGATGGATTCCTTCCTGATATACCCTGGTGGGGATGATGAATTCGTTGCGATCTGTGCTCGCCGTTCTAGTCACAGATTGGGCAAGGCACTGAATCTTGCACTGGCTAGGTACGATGTTCGGCGTCGTCGACATAGTTGGGTCCCTTGTTTATACACTGTTCATGGTGATGGCAGTTCCCCAGGAAATAACGTGGAAGTAAGACTCCTTAGCTGGTGTACGTGGCACTTTAGCAATGAGTAACACTCTGTCTTGTCAGCTATTTCGTGTGTGTCGTTTTGCCCCAATGGCTTGTGTATTTGCCCTTCTTCACCGGAGTATTGCACGGGAAGATCCCAGAGAGGTGGATGCGGTCTCTAAGAGGCCTCTTTTTCTATGCAAATAAGTAAGCCTGGTCAGTTGGTGAAGGATTGTATCCCGTCTTCAATCAGCATACTAGTGAGGCTGTTCCTCTCCCCCTACGCAGTGGGCGTTTCCAACTTTTTCTGTCTCTGTACCAGTGCGGAACAGGCAATAGTCCTGTTATTGAAGAGATTTGTGAAAAGAGACAGGTATGATCGAAGTTACTGGCTACTCTATTCGCATGGAGCGTGGCCATCATTCACAGGCCTTGCGTCGCGAAATGGGATAAAGGAGAGCATCCTTTGTCGCGAGTTTATCGTCCTGTCCCATTCGTATCTAAAACTTTCAGAGACATGGGAACGGAAGGTGAGGGTCTAAGTGCATACGGATTCTCTACCATCTCCATCAGGTGATGAGTCCTTCCCTTCTGGTGATGCATGTGAATCAACGATGTTTGGCATTTCAGTGGTTTCGCTCAGAGGTAACAGTTTACAAATGGTGATCGATGATCAGGTAGCGTCTATTTTTACTTCAGGTTTTAGTTCTCCGGCGAGCATGCTGGCTCTGTTTTTGGCTGCACTGTCATGTTTTGGCCGGGTGTACTTCCACGCCCACAATGTAAGGCATTATGATGCTATTCCTAATTTGAGATATCGTGGTCTCATAGGTGCTTGATGTTGTTGGAGGATCTTCGATTGCGCTGGTAATGACAGTTTTGCTGCTGGGGTACACGGAAGATTCGAGCGGTCGGCCCATGGCGGCAACTAGCTTCGTAAGAATAGTTGCACGCGGTGGGGTTTGCATAGTAGCGTTTTCCGAATGCCAGGGAGGCATAGTTTGCGAAGTGGAATAGCCGATCCCGGAGTGAACTCCTCCATTTCTTTAGGTGGAAGTGGCAGTCTGCTTGGCAGTGTTGCTCCCTCTATTCGCATTAGTTGAAGTAGTGCGTAGGAAAGCCCGTTCAAAAAGTTCATGAATAGACGAGATCAAGACACCATCAACATTGTTCCTGCCTCTCGAGTGTGTTGTGTGGTCAATCAAACTAATCTTCATTCAAGACTTGAGATTTATCTTTGAACGTACCAGACCGATGCATTGGTGTAGCTGGTTCGTGTATAATTTTTCCAGTTAGCCTTGACTAGAGTTCCTAGACGGGCGCGGAACTTCCGGGAATGCTAGCACAGCCTTCCTGTATTCATCCATGAGGAGCTATCACCACTATTATTGGAGGGTTCGTCTGCTTTCGATTCCCTCCCAGTTACGTTTCATTCTTGACAGTTCTCGCTTTGCCCCTTCGCCATGGATCGTTCAAACCTGATCGTCAACTATCTCCCCACAAGGATGGATGAAGAGGCATTGTTCTCAATGTTCGAGGCTTTTGGCCCAATACAGAGCGTCAAAATAGTAGGGCATACGTCATCTTGCTGGTTGACGGTTACCGACTGACACCGGCTTATCGTGTGATGACGGTGTTTCTACAGCAACCCGGCCACATCGAATTCTTCATCATCTGCCAAAGCGATCCTCTTCCGGGCCATTAGTTGCAGAATACGTAATCTCTGGCTCACATGTGTTTAGGTTCGTGATAGACATACTGGTAACTCGATGGGCTTCGGATTTGTCAACTACCGAGACAATGAGAGCGCCCGTCGTGCAATTGAAGCGGTGAATGGCCGAGAAATCGAATGCGATGCTAGTGAGGGCGATAACGGAATCAAGCACATCAAGGTATGTAATCAATCAGCTAGCAATCGCCAATCGACTGAAGAATCCCTGGTTCTTGCTCTCCTTCCAGGTGTCCGTTGGGAGACCTGCATGGAAGGCCAATATCCATTCTAACCTATTTGTTTCCGGGATACCACTGCACTTTACTGAGCAACACATAAGGTAGCAATCCGATTTCCATATGGCAACCTGCGATCTACTATTGGACAGCAAGGCTGGGAATACTCAAGTGCGCACTAGTCATATGATGCTCATGTTCACCATACGTGTTGTCGAGTCGCAAATGTGGTCTCGTCTTCATTCCTATATCAGGGACGTTCTCTTCGGACCAGAGTTCTCGGATCGAATAGAGAGTGTCCGAATGCTAAAAGACAATCCGACGGATGAGTCGGGAGGTGGGAAACAGGACTACTGACGGGTTGTCGATCGTATCTCTCTCATCTGGCCCAACTGACTCACATATTCATTGATAGTAAAGAGGCTCGGCTCTCTTAAGTGCTGAAACGCCAGTCTGAAACCATATATTTCTCAGGCAAGGCTCCTTTCCGCGGAATAGCGGTCGTTCGATTCGATACCGAAGGAACTGCCAGTGAAATTATACGTCGATTCAACGGTGAGCTGGAACTGTGCCAATTATTTGGTTCGTTTCCATCCTTTGAAACAGGTATTCGAGTATTACCTGGCGTTAAACAAAGCACGTTACAAATCAAGCCATGGCGCCCCGAGTGCCGGAATTCGCCGAAGAAGGGCGTGAGTATATCGGATCTTAGATATTGGATATTCGCTCGCATTGTCCTCTCGCACAAGATATCACCAGATACTGCCTGGGCCGGCGCCATCCCAGTTATCGCACATGACCCAGTTTGCCGTATCTCAGCTCAGTCCAGTTGTGTTCGAGCGGCTGGCTGTTAGTCATATTCATCAGTCTTCTGAAAGCAATCGACGTAACTCGGTTCATTCAACGGGTGTCTTTTTGGAGCGCTACTTCTAACTTCAGACTCAGAGGAAGAGGATACCAGACCCTTCCAACCCGTGATTTTCAATTCAACTCGTCAAGAAGTTTTAGAAGAGCAGCTGGAGAGACGTCCTGGTAAGTTGAATAATCAAGTACAGTTGAAATTATTCGAATACTCAGGTATAATGCATTCGTCAATGGTTATTGGCCCGGATGCTACGTGGAGTTCGGCAATGTTTCGAACTAAGAGAGACGCGCTCAATGCTATCCGAAAATTGAATGGTTGGGCTCACCGCTAACTCAAGGCAGACCGATTTTTTTCTCAGGACTGCGTATGGGTGATTATTTCTTGAGAATGCAGTTACTCCCTGATTCCTTGCAACCATCTGGAGTTTCCAGTGCTATCTCGGGTGCCAGGTAGATTTTCGATGTCGTCTCCTAGTGTCCTATATGATCGCTATGCTCTTTGCGTAAGTGTTGAATATAAGTTGCATTTCCTTTTCAGCCCACCAAATTGACTTCACGGTATTTATATGACGATTTCTGACCTCATACCATGTATAATCGTACATGTATTCGTGATAAATGCGTGTCGCAATGTGTAAGCTCTCCTGAGTACTATCAGTAGAGTTCCAAGCCCCTTAAAGCTCTGTCTGTAGAGTTGCAGTGACTAAACGTGGGACATCGTGAGTGCCTCAGGACAGAAACGAAATCGCCCATCATGCGTGGTCGATGGCGCTCAAGATCAACACTAGAACAAAGCTACAGTATACCTCTCCTGTGTCCAATGATCGGACTACAATCTGACACGATACGAAGTTCAGACGGTTTCCGATTGCCTCGTTGCCGCGATTGCAAAAACTCACGAAGTGTAACACAGTCTCTTTTCGGCCATTCACGCGAGCTGTACTCGATTGGCTTCATCACTCACGCTCAGCGTTTCGCGAGTTCCTCTAGATTTCGAGCCCGATTTCGTAGCTAACGGAAACGAATCGATGCTCATTATCGCTACGTCTGCTACTGAAGGACGCACGACAACAAATTCCGCAAAGCTGTTAACTTTGGAAAAGACTGTCGTGCTACTCTCGCTCATTTGAGCAACGTGCTCAGCGCGATCTACCCATATACTTCGACAAGAACATCACGCGACCATGCAGAGTAATAACCGATCATCTAGGCGTGCGCTATTGTCACGCGATTTTGTCATCGAAAGTTTTCTACCCATGCCGGCTCAAATGACTGCCAATGACGGCACTCCATTGAAGATGATCGATGGCCCTGACCCCGATGTTGACGAGATGGACGAGGATGATGCGGCGGCCATGGCGTTCTACCGAGTAAGGTTTCGGGATACCGCAGGTATTGGGCGTGCTTGGAGACACTGTAATACTATCAGGCAAACAACGTAGAGTCTAAGACAACTAATGTCACCGTCGGTGGCTGTGGTGCTCAGTGGGATGAGGACTGTGTGAGGGTAGTAACGGGATACTCTTTGCGTGTGTTTCCTTGCTGAACCCTTCAGCTGGGATACTCCTCTGGTTATCCGAATGCTTATTTTCGCACGAGTAGACATGAATAAGAGTCGGCAACACTCACTATCGTTCAGGTCCGCGAAGGTCAGCTTTTTGTCGATTTGAGTCGGCGAACTCCGCCAGTGGATGATACCGCACTATGTTCGTTTTGTGAATGGCTTGATCAGAGGAAATTGCCGGTAAACACGCTCATCCTGTACTTCGATGCGATCGCCGTCAAGAGAATACATCAATTTTCCATGCTGCTGACATGGATACCTCTCTTGACCTAATGTGTGGTACTGTTTGCCTTCATCCAGGTTCTACTCGGCAACTATAAATATGTCAAACGCACGGGCGCTACTGTCGATTTGAGCGACAACCGGGTTGGAGCGCGGGGCATAGAGATGCTCTTGAATACCCTCCGAGCACACGAAGTATTAGGCTCATGGCACACGAGGGTGTTCGAGTTATGGTTGTTATTTTCAGGTTCCATGTGTGGTGATGCGCGCTTATAGGAATGTTCTTACCGATGAGGTGGTGGATACGTTTGTTGAGTAGTATTGGGAACCGTGCATGGGTTTGGTTGAACGCATCAATTCCCAACGAACGCGGATTTGTGGTTATGATAAGAGTTGCTATAGCAGTGACTAGTGAAGTTCGATAAGGTCTGGGAGTATATTTCTCCTTATTTCATCTTTTCATACATAGCGCTTTACTGATATACTCACAAAGCTGAGCTGGATAACATGAGCTGCTATCGTGTCTTCGCCGACTTCCCCGAAGTGCATCGATATCTACTTCGGTCACCGCACCGCGTAATTAGTTCGCTTTTGCCTGACCCAAACTGGTATTAACCGAAGTGTGGTCTGCACAATATTGCTCGTACTTCGGATCAAAGTCGTCCACAATGCAGTGTTCTCTCTGGACGTCTTTTTGTCACATGCTCTCATGTTCTCAGGTATTTGTATAACCAACCGGCAGCGTTCCCCATGACTGCCATACAAATATCACATAATCGATTGACCCAGCAAGCGGCGCTCCGATTGGTGAGATCATGGTTGGAAATTTCAACTTCTCCTCCATTATCTGGTATCTCTCTATGGTGTTCACAGTACCCTGCGGACTTGAATAACTCGGGGACCCATCTATCGATCTTCTCGTTCGTGTGCTGGGATTGAGCACATCCGCTTTTCAACTCTAGCTAGGGTTGTCCGGTGAACACCAGGAATGTCTTCCTATTCAGATCAAGGCAGCTGTTTCTTGCGGACATTACCCAATGCGGGTGTCACGGCGTCCGTTGTGGTTGAGGTTGGAGCTGAACGAAATATATAGGCCTGAAGATATTGTAATAAAGGATTGTTTAGGACAGGGCTAAAGTGGAATACGCGATCTATCTGTGTTAAGATCGCGCCACTTTGAGGACTTCGGAGAAGGATTATAGTTCGCATTCAATGTGCTCGCCGCAGAAATGAACTTCGAACATCATAGTAACTCTGTGAACGAGAGCACTCAGGTCCAAACGTCTAACTTGTGGAAGGATAAGCTGCGGCCGGACGCCAAGTTCACAGTTTGTTGTATGCAAAACGGCCTATGTGCCGACAAACGATGCGATCATACCAATGCCGCGGTGAGTTTGGGAGTTCCTCTCCCTGATAGAATTGGAGCGATCATCATGGGATCTTGTGACAGGTACAAATGCCGTATTTCTTCAACCAGAATCGCCAAGGCTATTTCGAGCAGCGTGATCAACTCTTAGCGGAGAATAGACTATATTATCCGACCCCAGGAGATCCGTCAACTGCCATCGGTAGGTCTGCAAATATTCATCGTTTTGGAAGTTTCGCTTGGTTCGACTTAGTTGATACAATAGGGGCAGATCTAGTGCGTTTGCTATAGGGATTTGAGCAGGTTCGAAGTGTCCATGTACTGTGATCGAAGATGTTTTAGGTGCTTTGGGAAGCAGCGCTAGAGGCTCATTCGCAGTAACAGTACCTAAGCCGGCAGTGTCTATGCAGTTCGTCGAGCTGGATTTGGATGACGATTGCGAGAGCTTCGGGCTTGGATTTAAATTAAAGTAGTATCATGTATCCGTCACGGGACGAGACCAGATGGTCGCATCTCCGCAGTTACCCTGCACATGCGTTGCCTCTAGTAGCAGAGGTCGATCCCGAATCGGATGCTCTGTATGCGGGAGTTCGGCCCGGAATGGAATTGAGGAGAATCAACGGAGTAGATATGCTCTGGGTCATATAATACATATGTATTTCATCATCAGGTTGATGTTGGTATGCTCAAGGAGGGTCAGGTTGAAGATATGCTCGCAGAGCGGCCAATAAGCTGTCGATTTGGCCTGCCTGGGGAGACTAAAGGACCGCTCAGTTTCACTCCAAGAAGGACAGTGTACGGATATACTCCTCGATGACTATCATCATCAGTCGACACACGTTCCTTTCCGTATCATTGGTATTATTATGCTCACGAAGGATTGTGTTGACAGTGATATAGTTGACACATGCGACAACCCCTTTCGTTCCACACGTCGTTCCCTTTCGTTCGTCAACTCGGATGTGAGTTGACTTCACTGTAGTACCACAGCACTACCAATAGTATCATCATAGCTTGCAACACCCCTGACGAGCTATGGCTATGGCCAAGTAAAATTCAGCAATGGCAGTTACAACCTCTCTTGTGTCAGGCTGGCGAGTTGTAATTTTATGCAATACTTGCAGTGCAAGTGTGCAACATTTCATTGCGTATCATTGGTATTACTGATTATGCTTGCGAAGCCTTGTGTTGAGAGTGCTACTGATATCTAGGACAGATGTTTTCAGGATGCCCAAGCTATTCGAAAGTCTAGGATATAATCCAATAACATATAACTCAAGTCACGTCGTAAGTATAGTACGATGTCGTAAATATCATGCTGTGATGCGCAAGTTGTACATGGGGGGATCTCGATTCTGAACTATGAGCCTTGAAGTGATCCAACACAGTTTGTAACCTCAATAACCCTAGGACTCTCCTAACAAGTCTGCCTGTGTAAGATAGCCTTTGCGACCCCGATCTAGCCGGAAGAAGATGTCGCTTAGCGTTTCAGAACACAGTCCGAGTCTATCAGAAAACATCTGGAGTTCATGCAGGCATAGTTTGCCGCTGCCATTGGAATCTAATCGTCGGAATCCACCATCAACAGTCCCGAAAGTGACGGCCAACTTATCGAGTAATCTGTTCCGTAAAGTATCTCTATTTTCTGCTCTACGTAGTAGCAATTTATCCGCATCAACTCTCGCCTGGAAGCAATCGTCCACTCGGGCCCGGCTGAAGTTGGACGCTGAGAGAAGGAGTTCAAGCTGCTCAGAGCGGGCCTCTTCGAATGACAACCGCCTAGAGACAAAGACGCTTGTTAGACTGGAGCTGTAACTGATATCACTCGAATAAAACTTACTGTAGCATAGACTCCATCGTCTCTTCCATTTTCGCCAGTCTTGTTTCCTTCTCCTCACTTGCGAGCTTGATATTCTCCAAACCGCCAAATGCGCAATGAATCGCTCGCCATATGGCACCTCCTTCATCCACATCATCATTGCTAACGAATACTCGCAAGTCGACTGTGCCTTTCGGAAGAAGCTGCCCCAGGTATCGTCCCACCAACGCAATGATTCTCCGCAAGCCTCTAACTTGTGCTACATCGCGTTGACTTTGGTCATAGAGGAACTCTACTTCCCGCATGATCACACTCAGATTCTGTGGCAGGATCTCCTTCGCCCAGCGGAGTCTTTCTCGAGCTAGTTCGGTTCGCAAATTTTTAAGTTCCCCCTCAGTGACGGCGCGTAAAGCCTGCAACTTGGAATCACTTCCTTCCTTTTCCTTTTTAGCGAACAAGAGTTCCGATTCGACATCCTTCTTGGACTCCCCAAGTTCGTTGTAATTTGCCTCAAGACTCTTGCATTCCGCAACCAGCTCGGCCACTCGACCTTCAAACTTCCGAGTCAAGTCGCGCTCTTTTCGCATGAACGCTTGCTTGAGTTCCTAATGAAGAGAATGGTGGCTTTTCGCCCGATTCTCCCGTTCGACCAGCGAATTGTAACCAATACACAATAACGGATGGATCACCTGGGTGTATCGACTCCATTGTGCTTCGAGCTCGCTACTACGGCCTTGAGCTTGCGCACGTGCCTCGTCCAAATCAGCTCTCAAACCTTCAATCCTGACCGAAATCATCCCATAATTGGGATCCTTTCGGAGTCTGAACTTCGGACTCAATACGAAATTACTTCTGTTCCCGTTCTCGCAGCATCGTCTCCATATCACTAACGGCCTTGTCGCTTCGAGCGATTGCTGCCTCGTACCTACGACCATCGGAAACGTGCGTGCCGTAGACACAGAAGAAGCTTCACTCAAGCTGCTTCAATCTAAGCGCTTCCCCATAATCCTTCTCTCTCCGGCGTAGTTCGGCCTGATACCTACGAAAGCATCGCTTAGAGCTTTAATCGAGAGACTGGCAAGAGTCCACTCTTGTTCCTTGCGCTCCATCGCTCTCGCTTGCTCCGTCGCTCGGTTTTGCAGTGCCTTCTCCTGTCTGAGAATTTCACGCTCCGTAACTCACATGCAAACAGTGACAGACTTCTCTTTCGAATCCACTCTGAAGGCCTCAAACTCTCCCCTATGAGTTTCTCGTAATTTCTTGACGTGCTCTGCGTATCTGAGGGAGTGTGCAACGAAGAGAGAACCAACAACTATGAGGTGAATTAAAGTATTTCTCCGTGAGCTCTTTCTCCGCCTTCGATCGCGAAATAGAGTTGTCTCCGGACCAGAGAGGAGGAAAGAGTTACTCATCGCGCAGAACTCACTGTCGCTCTTTGTTCTTCACCTCTTCTTGATGATCCTTGAGTCGTTCTTGGAGCTGGCTTATACGACTAATTTATTGGGCATGAATCGAAACAGAGTCAGCATGCTTACTCTTCATGAGCTTGTGTAACCCTCGTGTGATTATCTTTGTGGTCATTCAATGCAGCATGATGACTGACAACAGCCTTGTCATACGCTCATGCTCTCCAACCCTTACGCATCTTGCCACTCTCGATGGGCATCTTCGAGTTCTCGACGGTGCGTTCCACGGAGATTCCGCAAGACTTCTTCGTGTCTGTTGCAATGGTGATATAAAGATGAAATGTGACAGGTCTCACTGGCGCTCTTTAGCCCTCGAGGCATCGTCGCGTTCTCTTTGCCATTCTTCTAGCTTTTTGTTGTACCTTGAGCAGAGCAGTGATTAAACAATATCCCCCGAATCTCATAAGCAATCTACTGTTCATGCAGCTCCATTAACGAGCTCTCGCGCTCAGCGGCATGAGATGCAGAGATATCCCGCAAGGCCGACTCATGTCTGAAGGAGGTGACTTTAGAAGGAAGGGTTGGAAGGGACTCTCTCACTCTTGCTGTTTCCTCCGAAGTTCCGTCTCCAGCAACGCCTTCTGTGATGCTGAGACTCGATTGAATCTGTCAAACACTATTCGCGGTTGGCGAAGCTAATACATACTGATGCTGTCCGCGGGTTCCAGTAACTCGGATGTTTCTAACAGTTCAATAGTTCGAAGATTTCCTTACAACAATTCAACAAAAATATCAACCCCATGCAAGGAAGCGCTGCGCAGTGTATGATAGGTCGTGCTCAATTATAATCAGCCTCGACTAATTTTTTATTATTCCCGGAACGACAGTTGCAACAAAAAATCGCGGCTAAGTCGCGAGAGTGACCAAACGGTGAGGAGGGTTGAAGACTCACTCTTCTTTTTGCTCGGCACTGTGTCGTTTGTGCGCATCCTTCAACTTTTCCATCTCCGAGCGGTGACTGAGCCACTTCGAGTTTTAGATAGGGAGATGCAGGTCTTTATCTCACCTCGCGGCCAATTGATCAATCTCTCTTTCCTTAACGGTGAGTCGCGACCTGGATGTTGCCAACTGACCGTAAGTAAAGAAGTCTTAAGTAATCAAGCAGAACCGATTTCCGTGTGTTCCGTGTGTTCAGTCGAGCGGAGGTGTATATCATCGGTGATGATCATCCATCGCGTGTTTTCCGGCACGTGTGTTCTATCTCCGTTTACCTCCGTGGCGAAGTCTTCCCGTTCTCTCTTATGCTGCTCTTCCATCATCTTAACAGTCGCCATCAGCTCATTGCATTTATTTGCCCACTCCGCCGCACCCTATCGCAGATACAGGATGGAGACCCAGGGATTCAAACTCGAGTTGCACCTCTTCCCATTGTTGCAGTGCTCGCTGCTTCTCGGTTTCCAACCGTGCCTTGTTCTCCCGTTCCGATGCACTCTACAGAGAGATAAGAATTATTCAGCAGATTTCGCTCCCGAAATGCAAGCGAAAATTGTACTCTCCCAGTATGATGATGATACGAATTCCAACACGGACACTCTGGAGTGTAAGGATTCCACGAAAATATATTCACTTCCACTATACCAACGCCCAGAGGGTCAGAGCTATGGTCAGTAGTCATGTCCTTGTTATCCGAAATACGTATTGAATTGACAAGATGTACTATAATCAGTGAGTTGCGCGCGCTGACCATACAGAAATTGCAGCATCCCTCATACCAGATTGCTAAGTTGTATCTCAAGAGCTTTGTTCTTCTTACGCAACTCTTCTGGATTACCGTACCGGCTCTGAGTCAGATTACCATTTGAATGTGCACAGCGAGATCGGGCGGAGCGGAAATATACAAGATACGCCTCATCCGAGAGTCGCGGCGGGATTCGGCTGTACCGCATGAAATCCACTCGCTTAACACGCCCTCGTGGGGCGTGATTTCTGTATATCCTGTATTGTTCCGTTTCCGGTTCACCCACCATGTTTTCAAGTTCGGTCTGCAGGTCCATCTCTCTTGCTTCAAGTTCTCGTATTCGGCGTCTGAGATCCGCTGGGTCGCCGTATTGACTCTGAGATCCAGCAACAATCAACCTTCGTATCATCTTGGGCTATTGCAGTGAAGAGACTCTCAGCATATACCGTCAATTTCCGTACTATAAGTGACCTCCCGAAATTTTCAAGATTTTGAGTCAAAATGAGAAGTCCCTTGAATCAAGGGCCTTGATAGTGAACTGAGGGTCCCAACTCCCATCCCGATGCTTACCAAATCAGTTAATCTGCCCTCCAGGACACGTATCTGTCGTGAAAGCTCTGCCGGGTTACCATGCTCATTCTGAAAGGAAGAAATGACGAAAACCTACCACTAAGATAAGGTGCAGGATGCTAAGATCTGCCTCTGACTGCTACGCAAGATGCTATCACAACACGTGGGCATTGAGATCATCCCATTTGAAATGATTCACCGTGGTGCGCTCATTTCTGTCCACGAATTATGATGTTCCGAATAGCAATCTCACCATGCGGTTCAGTTCCTCTTCAAGTTCTTTTATCCGACGACTCATTCCAGCAGGGTCACCGTATCGCCTCTGGGGAAAACTAGTGTGGTTATAGCAGCCTAACCCCCATAACTCGGGGAGTGCTAGCAAGACGCTCATTCGTGAATTGTCTTGAAGTTAATACGTATCAGTCATTCTGCCCTTGTATGCGACCACTCCGAGAGCGCAAGATAGCAAAAGAGTCATTTCAAAAATTCATGATCCCCTACATTCTGATCGAGCTCGTTCTCTAAATCCTTTATCCGGCGATTCATCGATGCTGGGTCCCCGTGTTGTTTCTGAGAGAGGCGAATGATGATGACGAGCTTGCTTAACATCTCTCTTTAAACGCCAACTCCATCTCGAATCGAGGCAAACCATGGGTTAGAAATGAGGATGATCTGTACTACTCTGGAGCAAAAATTCAGCGATCATGGAGACCCTCCAAGTGTTCTAATCATGCCTCAGCGGAAGGAATACCATCGGACGATATAGTTGCATAGTCATTGCGTTTTCATCCTTACCAATGCAACTATCTCATCCTCCAGCTGTCGTATTCGACGCTTAAGCTCAGAAGAGTCACCAATCTGTTTCTGATAAGAGGTTCTCGTGAGATTGTGAAGCAAAATACTAAATCGAGCCGATTCAAAGTCGACTCGGCCCAGAAGTGTTGCACGCACGTACGGGACCCATTGATGATCACTCAGTCATATGAACTCGCCAAAAAACATTCGTTGTATTACCAGTCGATCGAGTTCCCGTCGGAGTCTTTCAACTTCACTCCGAGACGCATCGAGTTCAGCCTGAGGTACGAATGCTTTATCAGTGATCGATTATACTCGATTCGTGATACTCTGTTTGGTAAATACTCTATCGGGGAAATACCGAGGCGGTAACCCCCTGATCACCTGCAGCTTTCAGCTGAACAGTTATCGGGGTGCGCTTTTACTAACTAATCATGCATCAATGCGTATGGGTTGATAATCTTTCCACTCGATACATCCTCTCTCCCAAGGAAGGAATTCATATATTTCATCGGGTTTATACTTCATAATGAAAAATTCCAACAGAAATTTTCAGTTGATCACAATGAGAAGTATTTATTAGAATGTTGTCAATAGGGATCGGGGATACAAGCAAAATAAATCAGGGGAAGGGGGGGGATCTCGGAAGCAAAGGCTCATTGCGGGCACGCTGGATGTTCGCGGTGAACATACGTCGACTAGTCTTGGCTCTCTAGCGCAATACTCACCCGCAAATTAGCTTTCTCTTGGTCATTCTCGGATTTACGTTGATGATGGGTGTGATGGGTGTTAGCCGACGACTGGGCACCTTTTGCGAACCTTTCATACATTTGAAATCGATAAACCCAGAACCTGAGAAGTAATGTGTATTATGAATCAACGGGGAGAGGGTTCAATTGATAGCGAGAAAAACTGGAACTACAGTATCAGTTCTAATGAGGGTTGCTTCGGCAAGCCGTTTTTCACATCTAAGAGCGATTGGATATCATGTAGAGTTGGCTGTGTAGTTCTATGTTCACGCTGACGTGCGAGCCGAGCGATACTAGTCATACTTACCTATTGAATTCGGACTGGAATTCAACGAATGCTATGTGGCCACCTCTGTTCCGGTCGAGGAGCTGCTCGACTTCATCGACGAAGCTACTCGAAAGAGGCTCCTTTACATTATCTTTCTTGCGTATATTATCGAGTAACTGAACGTAAAAGGCCGTCGTGCCAAGGTTTGAGGAGGATCAATTGTTTGGGAGGTGCACACGACTCTCACGTGAGTGAGCATCAACAGTCCCCTATTTGGATCCGTTAGCAAGCGTAGCTCTCGTCGCGGAGCGCATCAAGCATGGACCGAACGTTCCTGGTCATTCCGGTGAATCGTTGAGAGAGCCGGATAATAGTGAGGGACGATGTCTTAGATACGGAACCGCCGTGTACATGTCAAATCTTTTACTCCGCACGAGAACGAATCCAATGCAAGTTGGATAGCGCTAGCCTCATACCTCGGCCCACGGTTGACGGAGAACAACTATTACAGGTCAATGCCTTTCATGGCAGAATTGGTCGGAATATGTTTTAAACCGAATGAGGAAAATGCAATCAATCGTCACCAACACAATGCCGAAGTTGCCACATTGATGGCCTACATTTTCAAGCTCAACTCGGCTGATAACACCGTTCCTGTCCTTGTCGTAAAACTTCCACAGAGCATTCAGGTTGGCTTCATTAAGCGGCTCAATCGCAGACGCGGATGGATGCCCAGCGGACATGTCTCCAAGTCAACCTGGCTTGGCACGAATGATGTACTTCGTGTGAGCACGTGAAAATCGTTGTCACGAAAACGGAATTGTGCGCAAGATAATCGATTGCGCGGGCGTGCGCGTTGATTCTGCGCTGACGTCAGTGCACCGAGTAAAATGCTGACGTGGTATGACGCACAGTTCACTTAGTTCGGCCCCTTCGATGCAAAAGGTGGAGGACGGAAGCTCTGAGAGTTCCGGCATGCAGAGGAATGTCAGTCTCCGGAACACCTTCCTCCACTTTCATTGCAGCAACCCTGAATTCACCAAGGTAAGAGCAATTGACGCAATTATCTCAGCAGTGCCGCTATCGCTAGAAGGTCGGGGTCTGTGTGAAAAGACGATTCGGTCACGCGCTAGTTTGTGGAACATATGCTCAGCAGCGGGTTGTATAGACCAGGATTTATGTATTCTTAGTGATATGGTGTGGCATTGTGCACGAGTGCCCCCGAATTGCCTCTTGTTTCTTAGGTTCGGAGTTTCGATGACGTTGACGCTGCCCTTTCGGAACGGAGAGGAGTGTCTGTTCCCATCCAACGGG